TTGGTTCCTTTAGGAAAGGTCCTCTTTTACACATCTTTCAAAATGTAATTTCTCAAAATTAACCAGAGTTCATGAATATTTGTGCTATGAGCTTGAGAAGTTTCTTGTATATTCAGAAAAAGACATTTCAATAGTTCATAAAAAACCAGAAAGGGAATAAACAAAGCCAGCCTTGCAAAATATCCTCTGTCCTCCCACACTCAACAGGTTACCTAGGCACAAACCTTTCAGACTATTCAATAGAAATAACCACCCCAAACCTCTCAGGTTACTTGGTTCAAGGGGTATGGCATTGCAGGGATCTTCATATTCCACCTAAACATAACATGTCTAAAATGTTTATTGGGAGCTAACAAAAAAGACTGTCACCCAGTTCTCTGAAATGTACATTCCAAGGTACAGCAGCACTGCTTGTGTGGATGCCTGTGGAATTGCTGAGCAATTCCCTAAAAAAAGCTTTCAATTGTGTGCTCTCCCAGCTGGCCTTCCAGGCCAGGCTAGAGACACAACAGCATGGAAAGAAGCGTCACTTTTACAGATATACTTTTATCCCTAGAATGCAAGTGCAGGAGGGACTGGGTTTTTCCTGCCACTGCTACATAGTGAAAACCGAGATAGAGGCCAGTAAACCACAGGCTACAAGACAAACTCAGCAGGTGGACATTTTCTGTATGATTCATAAACCACAAAGTTTTCATACATTTAAATGCTTGCAAATAAATTTTTAAAAATTCTGTGATGGCCCTCCCTGGTGGCGCAGTGGGTTAAAGCACTGCGCTGAGAAGCTAAAGCCACTTCCGCATGAGTTCCATTCCCGCCTGCCCCGGAGGTGACCACATGGAGACCTTTCCTGACCCGCCTGCTGCTCCCCTTAGCAGTGCACTTCGTTGATCTGCCTGTTCTGCTCCCCACTCTGTCTCTGGTGAATCCTCTCACCGCCCCTGCACCTCTGGCCTGTACCAGTTCTGTATGAATGAATAAATAAATCTTTAAAAAAAAAATTCTGTGATGCCTGAAAATTAAATTTGGATTTAAGTGTCCACTCAAAGTCCCAGTGGAACACAGCCACAGTGACTGGTTACATTTTGCTTAGAACTGTTTTCACATACTACAATAATGGGCTTAAGAAGTTGTGACAGAGACTATATGGCCCATCAAACCTGAAGTATTTAATATCTGGCTCTTTACAGAAAAGTCTGCTGATGCTTGACTACAAGAGATGACCTCATAGGAGGCACTTAGAAATTGGTTAAATGGATAGTCACACAGGAAGCGACTATATCTCAGTCACTCCTTTTGAGCAACAGTCCATTTCCACTACAAAGTGGCTGCTGGAAAGACCAACCATGGGAGTGAACTGTGTCATCACCTATCTGATATTCTACTGACGTTCCTCACAAAATAATGTTCTGAGACAAAACATTATTTCAGGAATATAAAATGGAAGGTGAACCTTTACATCTTGAATATATAAGTAATTACCTGTGTTTGCTTTCTTTCTCTTGAAAATCCTGAAGACCATTTTTTTCTTCTAATATGGTTCTTCCAAAAGGCTCCTCAACCTCTGGTCACAGACTAGTACTGACAGCAGGTCAAAACAGTGAAGACAGGAACACTCATATAATTACCGTCAGAAATACAGCACATGCTTTACATATATTTGATGTAAAGATGGTAAATCCACCTTTGAGAGCTTTAACTTAGAATTCATGATTTAGAATTCATGAGAATCTCTATCCAACCCAAGCTCTTTTTCAGAATTAGGATACAGAGTTCACTTCTAAAACTGAGCAAGGACAAATGACTCACAGAAAAGTGAGAACAAATTAAACCATACACAAATAGATTTCTTGATTTTCTTTCTGAGGAAGTTGTAATTATCTCAGGTAAAAAGAAACAAATAATTGCAGGCAATCAAATAACTGTGTGACTATGGACTTTGTACAGCTAATCTTATTTGAAACAGAAATGAATGTTATTTTCAGCCAGCAGAATTTAGTTTAATGTGGAGTATGGAGTTCTGTTTTTTGCAAAACTACACAATATCCTTCCGAAAAAGTTGAGAATGTAACTTATATCTCCCCTAAGCTGCTTCATGTTTACCTTTATTTTTTAAAAAAGTGACAGCTGGGCCCTCCCTGGTGGCGCAGCGGGTTAAAGCACAGCACTAAGAAGCCTAAGCCACTTCCGCATGAGTTCGATCCCCGCCAGCCCCGGAGGTGACCACATGGCGTGGCAGACCTCTTCGACCCGCCCGCTGCTCCCCTCAGCAGTGTACTTCGTCGATCTGCCTGTTCTGCTCCCCACTCTGTCTCTGGTGAAGCCTCTCACAACCCTGCGTCTCTGACCTGTACCCCAGTTCTGTATGCACAAATAAATAAATCTTTAAAAAAAAAAGTGACAGCTGGAACAGGTCACTGATTTATTCTCTGTATACTACTTGGCACTGACTTGCATATGCTGCTTGCATTTGGTTTCTGTATGTGTTGGATCTAACTTCATCGTTATTTAGGTAAACATCACTTAAAAAACTTTTTACAAAAAAATTGTAAAGAAAACAAGAGTTCCCCTAGTCTACTTACATTTTACTAACATTTGACATTAGTATATTTATTACCATTAATAATAATACATTAATATCAACTAACATACTTTATTTTTACCTCCTTAGTTTTTATACAATGTACATTTCTGTTTCAGAATCTCATCCAGAACACCACATTTAGTGATGTCTCAGGCTGTGACAGTTTCTTTCCTTGTTTTGATGAGTACTAGCCAGGTACCTAGTAGTATGTTCCTTAATAGGGATTTAGCTGATATTTTTCTCACTTATACTGGGGTCATGCTTTTATTGTTTGCAAAGGAAGACCAGAGAGTTAAGTGCCATTTTCATAGCATCCTAACAAAAGCAGATAGTAACATTTCTGATTTCACAGGTTTCTCGAAAGTAACTTTCTCTTTTTTCAAAGCTGTAGTCTTTAGAAGGAAGTCACTATGTATAGCCAATACTTAACAGTGGGGAATTAAGGCCCATTTCCTTGAGGGTGTTGATATATAATTTGGAATTCTGCATGTGAAATTTATCCCTGTTCATCATTTATTTACCTACTCAATTATTTATACCAGTATGGACTTAAGAAAATTTATTTCAGACTTTGGATTATTGTCTATAATCCACCTAATTGTTCTGTTGCCCGAACTGTTCTAATTCCTCTAACAAGGAGTTACTTAGTGCGGTTTCTGTTTCTCCTCTTGGTCTTGAATGTTTCTTTGCTTAATTCTTACTTGCTTTTCAGGATTCAGTTAAGTTGCTACTTTCTCCATGAAAAAAAATTCCTGGTATCTGCCCCTCCTCCCAATCTTTAGTCTTATATCACTCTAGAGAATATATATATATATATTCTTATGTATATCTACAATTTATCTATGATAAATTAAAAATTTAGCATCCATTATGATACTTATGCACTGTATCACTAGCTTCTTAAAGGTAGGGATATTTATTTTATATTCTTAGGAGGTAATACATAGCACTGTTTGCACAACGGAGGAATTCAACAAATATTTCTTGAATAATCACTATTGTTTTCTCTTTAGTCCAAGAATCCAGGAGAGCCAATATATTAACTATAGGTTACCAAGGAGTTGGTAACTAACTGATCCAGGAACTTCAGATTGGTGCTACTAATGTAGTATGGTCAGTTACAGCATAATAAAACAGTCTAATAATTGCTATTTTCTAATTAATGTCTTATTTCCACATAAATAGACGTTTCCTAACTCTTAATCCCAGATACATTTCCATAATTACATTGGGGACAATGACCAATTACAAAGCTAGTTAGTGCCTAGGTTTAGAGATGTGCAACAAAACAGCACACGGCACTGAGGTTCCATGGCAAGTAAAATTCAGCTGGTTGAGCATTCCATAATCAATAAAAAAAGTTATTATGCTGAGTTGTTATAATTTATTATAATGAAGTAATCTCAAATGTCAACCAGGAATCTTCCCAAATACCAGATAGTGGTAAACTCCATTCTAAACCACATCAGGCTTTTTAAGTTGGATCATGCTGCCATATAGTCCCAGTTATCATTAATTCTTGACTGATCACCTTCCAAAATGCACTCTTGCCCCCATTTACCCACCCACCATAAATGAGATCATGTCATTCCCTTTCACTTGTTTTCATAACATTTAAATTCTCAACCATTTCCTAGCGCTTCACCCGACTGGATCCATCAAACTCACCCTACACTCTTCCTTACCTATTAATGGCCCAGCCACACATTCACCTTTCTGAAATTATGGCCTAATTCCATAAATTTTTTGATGTCTATTTCAATTTTCTCTTAAGAGGCTTAAAAGAATTCTTTAATCTTACTGCTTCTTCTGCATGAGTTGTGTGCCTGAGAACAAAGGCAACCTTTATCTAAGAAACCCTTACAAATCCACAGAAATAAACAATAGATTGAAACTAAAAACCCACATTTTTCTTGAGTTATAAATTTCCATGGTGTTAAAATATAAATTATCTTTTAAAGTATTGTTACTTTTCCAAGGAATAGTAATACTAGCTTGATGTTGACATTCTGCAAAGACCAATTCAAGTTTAAAAAGTGGTTTCTCGGGCCCTCCCTGGTGTGCAGTGGGTTAAAGCACAGCACTAAGAAGCTAAAGCCACTTCCTCATGAGTTCGATCCCTACCTGCCCTGGAGGTAACCACATGGCGTGGCAGACCTCTCCTGGCCCATCCGCTGTTCCCCTCAGCAGTGTACTTCGTTGATCTGCCTGTTCTGCTCCCCGCTCTGTCTCTGGTGAATTCTTTCAGTGCCCCTGCACCTCTGGCCTGTACCCCAGTTCTGTATGCATAAATAAAATCTTTTAACAAAAAAAAAAAGGTGGTTTCTCACTATTTTGAAGAAAAAAGTGAAAAAGAAGACATTTAATAAAACACTGCCTTCTTGAAATAATAATTTATTACAAAATTGAGCCTCTTTGATAAGCAAAGGTGCCTTATTACACCCTTTCAAGTATATGGAAATTAACATGATCTGTAATACCGACAACCTGAAATAAAACAAAGTCTGACCAAATTAAAAACTGTACTAATTTTTTTCTATTTAAGATGCAGTCAATGAGGCATTACTCTGCTTCCTATTCTAATGATTCTCTTGTATGTATCTGCTGGAATGAAGTTCTTTAAATGAAGAATCTATATTTCAATATTCTGCCTACATCTTTGCAAGAGACTTATTCATTTTGGAAATGAAGGCCACCTAACATTGCTCTGGTTGACAACAGGCATAACTTTTGAATGACAGCAACTTTTCCTCCTCTCAGAATTAAGTCCAAAGCTTATAGGTTCTTAACTCCCAGAGGTTAGGAAATTATAATTGTTTTAAAGCTATGAAAACTGAAAAATCTGAGTTTGAGGCAAATTCATTCAGTGGTAAAAACTGACCTGTACTGACACAAAACTAATTTTAGCCTTATTAATCCCATATATTTTGAACATTCATACATTTTTGCTGCAGAGATATTAATGCATTTGGTTATAGAGTACTGCTCCAGACTCTTCTGTAGCGTTACTTAACATAAGTACTCTTTTACTTTTCTAAATACAAAAGTTCTAAGTAAGCAAACTGCATTTGGCACAAGGGTTTCAGGTAATGAAATGTGGGCTTGTAGCAGGTCTCAATAATTTTGCGTGAGACACAAAGTATTTTAATTACCCTTATCATTCATATTCTTATTTGCACCATGCTCTTCCAAGTGTCTAATTTTATAAAATATGAAGTATGATTCTGTTCATACATAAAAAGTGTTCAATAAAGTAACTTCTTATTACTTTTGCTTGCTTGACCTGCTACTTTAACTCCTAACTTATCTTTTACAAATTCAAAATAACTAAACAACTTGCAAAACTAACTAAATAGTCTAAGAGATTATATACATACGGCTCGGAAATTTAGGTAATAGTGTATCCTAAGTCAGGACAGCAAACTGTGATCTATAGGTCAAGTCTAACTGTCCACTTCATAGCTATTCCCATTTATTCATATACTATCTGTAGTGCTTCTCTGTTACAATAGCAGAGTTTGAGTAGTTGAGGCAAGGACAGAATGATACAAAACCTAACATATTAATGACCTGGTCCTTTACAGAAAAAGGCTGTTGACCCCTGCTGCTACAAAATCACTGTTCATCCAGAATGATAGCAATAATTTCATAAAATTAATTCGTTTGTCCACATTTAGGGCTGAGGGTAGGTAGGGTAGGTGTATATGGCATTTCAAAAGCAAAGAGAAAGCTATAACAGACCAATATTCCCTTTCTGTTTGAATGTGATCTCCATAGTCCATAATTTCTGATTCTTGGCCATTCAGAGGCACTGAGGAGTCTGATACTGATAATCTAGTCAGAAAATGAAGAAAGGAATTCACATGGTAAAGCTATTAATTTTAACACCTATAAACATTACATGCACTGGAAGGAAACCATATATTCTCTATTTTTTGTTGGTATGTGTAACTCCAAAGGTGTTGGGAATCTGAATCTTATAAATTACTCATCAGTAGACTATATTGTTCTACAGTTCATTTGGGCTGTTTCTTGGTAAGATTATCTTTTGCCACATTCGACAAAAACTATCCCAGCTCAACTGTGGCTCAATAAACTTTTATTATTTTTTATTATTTATTTTTATTCAAAAGAATGTTTCCCTATCACAAAAATTAGGTAACCACACCACCAACAGCAGCAAAGTCCATAGAGTTACATTGATGGTGGAGAGTTCGCTAGGTATTTCAAAGTCCCAAAGGTCATAAAGGAGGAAAAAAGAAAAGAAAAAATGCTCAAAACAAATCCAAAACCCATGATGATTTTGGGGAGAGACATCATGACAGTTCCTGTCTTCTCTCATTGTCAGCTGCAGATGTATTTCAGCAGGATCAAGTATAATTTGACTTGAATAAACCCTTCATACCAACTCCAGCACCTAATTAGGGAGAAAAAAAATCACAGATCTTTACTATATTTGTAAATGGAAAACTAAATCAAGAAAACTTTTTCCAACTATTTTTAGACAAAGAATTTTAAAAGGATTAGACATTAATACTTGTTTTCAACTCATCAATTGTCATGAACTCTACAGATCAATCATCTCTACAATTAAGGAGTCTTCAAGGTAACTATATAAAATATATGGATAAATGAACTAGCTGAAACATAGTGTGGATGTTAAGATTTTGGAAATATATGTCGGAACATCATTCCATATTCTTAAAAGAATTGTTAAGTGTTGCTACTTAGGGCTTAACCTAGTTATTCCAGTGATAAAGTTTCTACTGATCAAGGCATATAGGCTCAGGCCTTTTCCTACTGCTTTCTGGTAATCATCAGGTATCAGAATATTTTGCTAGTTATTAAAGCAATTATCTTGTTATAAGAAACTTGTGATTTTGCTAAAACTAAAAAGAAGAAGCAATGATCAGCTGTAAAAAGAGAAAAAGAAATAGTTAAGAAAGGACATAGAATGAGAGGACTATTATGAGACACTGTCGAAAAAATTAACATTAAGTGGAGACTGCAATTCCAGGAGGCAAAGATTTAAAGGCACGGCTTCTCCCCTTCTACGACTTAATTTAAACTGGTTTCAATAATGTTTTTGCCTTTAGAATTGGCAAGAGAGCTACTTAACATAAGAAGTCAATGTTGTTGAACAAAATCTTAGATTTGTCACTAAGATTCTCTAAGTATTAAGTGTCTTTGAACAACAAACTTGTTGAATAATGTCCAACTTTTTCAATGTATGCCTTGTCGTGAGAGTAGGATAAAGAGACACTAAAGAAAACCACTTAAAACAGAAACTCCAAGACCTATCATTTTGCTTCAGGCATCCTGAGTATACCAGTGATCAGTTCAAATGTCTGGCTTTTATTAAGTTGTTCATGGCACTCAAGTGAGCTTTTTTAAAAGAAAAAATAGCTACAAAAAAAGGGAGTATACACATAATTAGTGAGTTTCTTCATTTAATCTCTGTCGGCAATTAATGTATCAAGCTTGGATTTGCTCCCTTGGTTGCTGAGTCATTTGCTACTGAGGATAGGTGACATGAAGCCAGGGCAAAATTATTGTGAAGTGGCCGTGGAAACAGATTTCATAATAAAAGAATCAACTTCCTGATATTTCCATTATGAGCAGAGAATATGTGGGGGAAAAATGGGTACCCACAAAATAATGGTGTTTGGTTTCAAAAGTTCACTGCTTAGCTTAGGATTTATCTATCTAATATATGATGCTCAAATGCTAAATATCCAGCAATGTGGCATAGATAATTAGGTAATTTTGACTTTCTTGAGATGCTAAGACAATGAATTTGCGACCAATTATTCATATACCAAGGGAAATTTTAAGTTTTCAGATTATGTGAATGGCTTGAATATGATATGGTCAATTTTCACAGACCAGGCTGCTAACCACTACATCATGGAACCTACTTTTCTTGATAGCCAATTTTCAAGAGAATGGTGAAATACTTTTTCTTCCCTTGGCAACTGAGAAAAACCTAATTGATTAGGGGAGAGAAGGAAGAGAAATATGAGCAAGAAAAAATAAAATATTTTAAAATCTGATGTCTAACTTGGCATCTCCTGCTGTATGTTGGACCTTGTGAACCAAATGCTCTGTGGGGTGGTTTTCCTGGATAACAGAAGCTAAATAGTGCTTGGCTCACGGTGCATGCTAATAGTTTTCATCTATTTTTCATTCTGACTGACCTATCTATCCATTCAACATTCACATAACTTGTAATAAGTACTATCATCTTCTCCACAGTTGCAAGCTCCCTATTCTATTCCCCTTCAATCAAAGTCATTTCTAAGCATATTGAGATCCATGATTCTGAATGACCTCCAAGGTTTACTATAACTCTGTAATTCCATTTTATACTTACGGTCTATAACAGCCTGAAAATGGATCTGAGTTTAAATGGAGATATGTATAAAATAGCTTACCTTAATTGTACCCTGACTGTTAGCAGCAATCAGCACATTGGACTCCTAGAAAAGAACAAGAACTTTTATTATAGAGAAGGATCTCCTGGTGGGTAGTCCAAAGGGATAGTTTGTCTTTCTTCATTTCACCCTAAGTCACCAACAGACTCTAAAGTAGAGAGCCATCTTTAATGTGCTTAACTATGAGTTTTTAACATAAAATTCATAGTTTGAGGATTAAGTTGTTTTTTTTTTTTAATAACGCAATAGTTTATTTTTACATCATTTTGTGTCTTTTCCATCTCAGTTATAATCCCTGTGGGCTTCCCATCACCAAATCACCTCAGGTGTGCCATCACCTGAGGATTAAGTTTTAATGAAAAGTAAGTTGAAAGCAAAGTAGGAAACTTTCAAATGTAAAGAAAAATTGCCGAAAAAATTGCCACTAGAAGGAAAGCCAAGAGAAACAGACTGAAATAAAACACATAGGAATAACTTAAGAAAAACAAAGTCCATAAGCCACTCCATAGAAACACTCCCTTCTTTCATTTTCTCCCATAAAACACCAGTAATTGATGTAAACACTGTCTATATCGTTGGCATAAATCTCTATAGATAGCTGTTTGGTATTAGGAAAAATAAAATAAAAGTGAATATTCATCAGGGAGAAGAAAGACCATCTTTCTTTTTAATTGTTCTATCCCTCAGCACATGCATTTTTAATAACCTTGGTGATTACTTGAAATAGAATGTATGTGGTAATGTGTTTTTATAATCTAAGCCTTACGAAAATATCATTTCTCTGGGAAGTAGGAAGAGTGGGAAAAAGAATGGACAAGACTGAATTTACCAGAAAGAACCTCTCAGTAGGAAGGCAAGGCTTCTTGTTGGAAACAGAGCATAACAGACATTAGAATTTCCAAGTATATATAGAAGTCTTTTTGCTTTTCACAGTAGACAGTCAAAAAGAAGGTAAATAGACTCAACACTGCCACAGAAGTGACATGGCTAAAGGAATGAACAAGTCCAAACAATAGCTATGAGACAATGAGAGAGATGAAGTCTCAGTGAAGAACAGGGTCTGCCTGAATATCCTACAGGATTCATGACAAAGTGAATAAAAAAAAAAAAAGTAGGGCCCTCCCTTGTGGCGCAGCGGGTTAAAGCACTGCACTAAGAAGCTAAAGCCACTTCCGCATGAGTTCAATCCCTGCCTGCCCCGGAGGAGATCCACATGGTGTGGCAGACCTCTCCTGACCCACCGGCTGCTCCCCTCAGGAGTGTACTTTGTTCATCTGCCTGTTCTGCTCCCCGCTCTCTCTCTGGTGAATCCTCTCACCTTCCGCATCTCTGGCCTGTACCCCAGTTCTGTATGAATAAATAAATAAATCTTTAAAAAAAAAAAAAGTAGATCTGTATGCTCAGCTAATCTGAGTTAAATTTTAGTTTCTTTGATACAAAGTAATCGCTCTACAAATTTACTTCCTATTTTTCAATTCTCCCTTTGATTACTTAAAAGATACTTCTGAAAAATGCTTATCTTGTGCCACTCTTAAAATTTATTTAAGAGAAATTAAATTTCTTTCACTATCCCAAATCATTTTTATAGGATTAGAATATCCCTTAGATATAGTCAGTGGTCACAGTTGTATCAAAAAATAAAAACGTGGGTTTTCTTCTGGGTATGGGCATAGGAATTGCTGATAATGGGTTTCAGGACACACAATGCCAGAATATGGCACCTTTGGCACATTTAATATTTTAAGCTGAAGAAAAGTTTGAGAAAGTAGCAGAAGCACGAGGATCACTTACCTCTTATCCTCACACTTTTTCCATTAAATAAGTCATAAGACCCTCACGTGAGAAGTACCCTGAGTAAAGGAGCATCTTTAAGTCCAAAGACAGAGATGTCAGGAAGAATCTAAACAAGTCTGAACTGGAGTGAGTGGGTTGAAAAATGAATGAATACAATATTATTAGAAGTGGTATGAATTTTATTTAGAAGTTTAGTATGTTTTGTGACCATTAACATGCTTGTCACAAAGGTGAAGAGTTAAAAAGATTCTAATTTTTGTTTAGATTTGAGGACTTTATTTCACATTTTAAAACTTATTTTGAAAATCAGTGCAGATACAGTAGAGTACATATGCCATAAACAGCTCCACTGTGTGGTAAAATACATTTAGAAATAAATACCAGTGAAACTCCCACAAGACACCGTAAATGATGTAAACACTGTCTGTATCTTTGGCATAAATCTCTATGTCTATGGTAAAAAGAATGGACAAGACTGAATTTACCAATAAGAACCCCTTTAAGTAGGAAGGCGATGCCTCTTGTTGGAAAGAGTGTAATAATTGGAGTTTTGAAGTATATGCAGAAGTCTTTTTGCTTCTATATATGAATGAGATTTCATCTCTCTCATTGTCTCATAGCTATTGTTTGGACTTGTTCATTCCTTTAGCCATGTCACTTCTGTGGCAGTGTTGAGTCTGTTTACCTTCTTTTTGGCTGTCTACTGTGAAAAGCAAAAAGACTTCTATATATACTTGGAAACTCCAGTGTCTATTATACTCTGTTTCCAACAAGAGGCCTTGCCTTCCTACTGAGTGGTTCTTTCTGGTAAATTCAGTCTTGTCCACTCTTTTTCCCACTCTTCCTACTTCCCAGAGAAATGACATTTTCCTAAAGAGGCATGAACTTGTTCTCAGAAGGGTTGTAGACAAATGTTGCTGCAGTTGCTTTTGGTAAAATTGGTTTCATTACATTGTTTTGCTTAAAGCTATAGTTTCTAAACCTATTGATGTTAAGTAAGGCTGACTATATCTCATTTACAAAATAAGTTAACACATGAAATAATTGCCCAGTTGAAATCTCTTTTGAAATGTACATAGGTGACATGATGGGTAACTCTTAGAAACCCTCAAAACTATTCAAATTAAGAGTGAAAGAAAACGATCACATCCCAGTATACCTACTTCACAAAGCCCATGATCTTATAAAAAAAATTATTTTGTTTTAGCACAGAGGTATGTAAATAATAAGACAACTACTGTAGGCTTCAAATGACTACCTGTTTGAATTCTGAATGACTGGTAATTCTTAGCTGTAGTTGTAGTCTGCCAGAGTCCTAATGTAAATAAGTTCTGGCTCCAAGGGGTGTTTTTATTTACTAGATAAAATAAAAATGCCAGTCAGTAATTCTCATTATTTTTCCCTTTATCTTGCAAACTGGAAATTTTGTTACAAAACTTCCCATAAGGTTAAGCTAATAATGTACTGATTTTTTTCTTTGTAATATGAAAGACTATAAAAAACAATGGAAAATTTACCACTTTTTTCATTAAAACAGAAGATATACACCAACTTGGTTATACTACACTCCTTTATACTAAAACAAAACTAGCATCCATTTGAACAATTTTCCATTTGCTAACTTATTTAGAAAAGTAACATTATCGTACATTAAATTCCTTAGCAAGTTGAGAAATAATTATTTGCTTAGTTTGCAAATGGAGGATTTATTTCTATAGATAGAAAAAATTGATTTTAAAAATGAATTATTTTTACTATAACTATAAATCTGTAAAAATCAATCATTTCATTTTTAGCTAGGAGAGTAAATGGAATGTTTATTCTCCTACTCTATACTAGAAAACTGAACAAATACATAATACTGGAGAATAGGCTCTGTACAATTGGGATCCTCCTATGACAACAAAAACAGGTGAGTCTTATAATTGCCCTGGCTTTCTGCTTACAAGCAATTTTTAGAACACACAGCAAGAAAGATGAATCCAAATGTAACACAGAAGAGTCCAATAAATAAGCCACAGCAGAATCACTAAATTGAGGTGCCAGAGATACAAGTTCTGTGTATCTAGAGGGTAGCTGGAATTCTCGGGGAATGTACCACAAAGGATAAACCTACATAAAAGTGAGAGTTCCAGGAATCTACACAAGGGCCAATAATTTTATAATAGAATAATAAAAACTGTATGCTAAAGTAAACCAGTGAAAAATGAACAAGGAAAATACAAATACTGAGAATATATACCATCAAATGCCAGAGTCCACACTGTGCTAGATGTTCAGATTTTGACCAGACAGAATGAAAAAACCTCACTGGAACACCCAGGGCATTCAGAAAGTGCTCCTAGAATGACCATGCCTTAAGGTAAGACTAAGCTAGCCTTAAAGTAAATGCTTCTCTAGACCAGGGACCAGTTAACAGAGCTTGTGGATTAAAACAATCCCTTGCCTATAGCCTGTAAATCAGTCCTGCTGGAACATGGTCACTATCATTTGTTTAGTCATTGTCTGTGGATGCCCTTGTATCACAGTTTTAACAAACTACACATTTAACAAACTACAACATAAGACTATAAGACTTACAAAAGCTAAGATGTGTTTAAGAAAGTTTCTAACTACTACTTTAGACTCATCCTAATAAAGTCTAAAAAATAAAGAATCAAGTTTATCTCTAAAAGTTAACTTCCTATCAAAACAAACTTCAAAATTCTTAAAAGAACTCAACAATATCTAGGTATCAAACAATGAAGCACTGGCAGTGTGTAATACTCAAGAGGCAAAAAGCATAACTAATAACCAGGAGTGAAAGTAGTGGGGAATCAATAAACACAAGCAGATCCAGAAATGGAAGTAGTAAATTTGAGGCAGGTATAATTATATTCAAGTATTTAAAGAAAACAATAAACCTAATGAGAAAAAAAAGGGAAGATAATTATAAAAACTACATGAAATTCCTCCATCTGAAAATTATCATATCTAAAATGACAAACTCATTGCATGTGCAATGAGTTAAGAAAGTAAAGAATAAAGTACAGATAAGAAAGTAGAGAATAAAGTTCCATGAATTTGACAGCACAGAAGAGAAGACTCCATCCTGAAAAATGTAAAAAAGCTGAGAAGAAAAAAGATTAACATGATAGTGACCAACAGGACAATATACACTTAAATAAATGTGTAACTAGAATACCAAAGGAGAATTATAGGCATATGGTCAAAATTTTTTCTAAATTGGAAGATCATAAGCCAACAACCTA